AATTTTATGTCACTTTACCTAAGCTTAGACCCTTAATAATATGCGTCATATTTTAAGCAGTCTAAGTTAAAGTTATGATCATTATGTTCTCTTGGGTTAATGAATGTGCGATTTTGGAGTTGAAACAACATATTAAACTGGGTAATTTAGTTATACTATTCAGTCGAATTAAAATTAAACTGTAGTGAATATTATTTTATAATGATTTTCCGCCAATTAGTTGGTTAGATTTGCGCACAGAACTACACATTTTATATAGAGCCCTAGGAAAAATAGCATGATGAATTAAGTACATGCTTATTTGTAGGGGCAAGAAATAAAATCTATACATATAAAACTCAAAGGTGACTGACTGACTGACATAGAGATATTTCAACGCACAGTCCAAACCACTGGACGGATCGGGCTGAAATTTGGCATGCAGGTAGATGTTATGACGTAGGCATCCGCTAAGAAAGGATTTAGATCAATTCTAACCCCAAGGGGATAAAATAGGGAATGAAAGTTTCTATGAAACTTTTTCAATTTTAAACCGATAGGGCTGAGACTTTGCATGCAGGTATAAGAAGAATCATAGATGAATGTCATTGTGTATAATACAAGCCTGAGAACAAAAACTGTAGTCTACACTTCAGCTTTACACCGAAGCGAAGCGAGGGCGTGCCGCTAGACTTTAATAAAACGCATAGTCGGGAAAACATTAAATTACCACAAGTTTCCACAATCGATACAGCATAGATTACAGAAAACTTATTTTAAGCATTTTATTGATTCATCCGAAAAACTCTTGCAAAAGTCACCCAAATATTTTTGGAACTATATCAAAGGTAAAAGGAATACCAGTAGTTACCCTAAAACTTTTTCACACTCCAATAACTTTTATTCTAGTGGTGAAGATATATGCAGGGCCTTCAGTGAGTTTTTTGAGAGCGTTTTTGTGAATTCAACTGAGTCACATCCTCCACTGCCGGAGGGAATTCCTTGTAGCGAGGAGCATCTTGCCCGGATCCATATAGACGAGGACCGAGTACTAAAGCTTCTGCAGTCTTTGGACGCAACTAAAGCTGCTGGATGTGATGGCGTGCCCCCAGTACTGCTGGCATCTTGTGCGAAAAGTCTTTCGGCTCCTATCACCATGTTGTTTAATAGATCGCTTAAAGAGTGTGTTTTCCCTGATGTTTGGAAGCAGGCCAGAATCGTGCCAGTGCATAAGAAGGGGTCTAAGTCACTCATAGAGAACTATCGGCCAATTTCGATCCTCAATACGGTAAGTAAATTATTCGAGAAGGTAGTTCTTGAGCAAATTTACTCCACCATTGCTATAGGTATTCCGCAGAATCAACATGGATTTTTGAGACGCCGCTCTACTGTATCGAACCTAACACTGTTTTCAAATTATGTTCTTAATGGAATGGAGAAGGGTGGACAAGTTGACGTAATTTACACGGACTTTGAAAAAGCGTTTGACCGCGTAGACCACGGTATCCTCATCCATAAACTTCAATGCCTCGGTATTCATGGTGATTTATTACGCTGGGTCCAATCATACTTAACTAAAAGGTCTCAGATGGTCGTTCTTGGTGGATACAGATCTGACTTTGTCACTGTCCCTTCTGGAGTTCCACAGGGCTCGCATCTCGGTCCTCTGTTTTATAATGCGTATATCCACGACATAGATAAGGTAATCAAGAACTCAAACCATCTTCTGTATGCTGACGATAAAAAGATATTCATGAGTGTGCGCGATGTTGCTGATTGCCAAAAGTTGCAGGACGATCTAAATAATCTTTTCTATTATTATAACAAAAATAATATAAAAATAAGTATTAGTAAATGTCAATGCATAAGTTTTACCCGTAAACCTAATCCTATAGTGTTTCCTTACAATTTCAATAATGTAACGATTGTGAGATCTGATGTGGTCCGTGATCTAGGAGTGTACTTTGACAGTAAAATGGTAATGTCTACACATATAGACACTATAGTGGGGAGGGCCTATCGCAACCTTGGTTTTGTTATGCGTACATGTCGTCCTTTTAATAGTCCCTTAAGTCTAAAAATAGTCTATTATGCATACGTGCGTAGTCTCTTAGAATATGCGGCCCCAATATGGGGCCCGTGTTACAATATTTACATTAATCGTATCGAAGGCATACAGAAGAAATTTGCACGCCACTTGAATTTTAGATTTCGGAAAATTCATGTTAAATCGACGTATGAGGAAATTTACCGAGCGCACAACTTGCTTACCCTGGAGGAGCGTCGTGAGGTCCTTGATATGGGTCTGCTGCATGATATCGTTGGTGGTGGCTTTGATTGTCCAGAACTGCTTAAACTAATATTTTATAATACACTTCCTCGTCGTACCAGGTCTTCCAATTTGTTATATGTCCCACATCATTATACTAAATATGGTCAAAATGCTGTGCTTTCTCGTCTACCAAAAATCTATAACGTGAAATTTGGTGAAGCCGATCCTTTTGTTGGTTCAAAAAAACAATTTCTGAATAAAGTGAAACAATTACTATTTAAGAACTTCCAAACAGCAACATCCTCATAATCGTGGGTTTATGATCGTGAATTATAGAACCCTCATATTGTAAACATTAAAAATATGTATATTTCACATATTGTATTATGGTTATTCAGTCCCCACTTAAAATATATAAATATGTATTGTATGTGTATATACCTGAATGTATATATATGTATGTATGTATATATGGGTAAAGAAAAAAAAAATATATATATATTAGGTTCTTAATGTACACCTATATTTTCCCCTGAGAACAAAACAGATAGGGTCTGTATTATTATAATTTTGGAGTTTTCTTTTCTTTTTTTTTTTTCACTAAGTTAGCAACTGTCAGCATCTCATATTTTCTTTTGTAACCACGTCTGTTCGTTTTAAAACCTTATTGTAATCTGTGGATAGTCGTAATTGGCTTTCAAATTATATATCATTGATTGTAATTCCAATATACATATAAGCTGTGTACTGTCCCTTAAATAAATAAATAAATAAATAAATAAATCGATTGTATATCTTATATAAAGCAAGATAAATCGGTTGGGAAAATTGCGTAGTGGTGGATAAATTTATTTGCGCAGTCTGTGTGTACAATAACAGTTTTCCTCGATATTTTATAGTCTCATTTGACGTATCTACAAAAGTAGACAGCTTTTACAACCTATTTATTTTATATACAAGAAATAAATTTTCTATCGATTGGGCCAATTTTTTTTCCCATACATTTATTTATTGTTAAAGTACTTGTACTTCATTCATTTCCAAATAAAATATTAAAGAGTTGCGAGATCGTGCTAGAGAAAATACCGTTGAGTTTGAACGAACATCAATGATTAAATAGGGTATTTGACAAGTTTTAGAAAACGATCTCACGTTATTGACTAATGTTTATGGAGTTCGTAAAAAGTGGATATTCATCATTCTGTTGTGTATTTCAAATCAAAAACTTCATTTTCAAGTTGCCACGAAAACGTTTATCTGGACAATATGGCGTCTTACTAGTGTGTGACGTCACACGACTGTTATTAAAACGTCAAACGATACAATGTAATGTCACTTTACCCGGAAGTTTACTTGCGTGTGACGTCATTTTAAGTTCCACCAATCCCAAGCGTTTTGGGTCACGTGACAATAAATAAAAAAACTATTATCTTTTTCGTGGGTTTTTAGTAAAATTATGAATATTTTTTTTGTAAAAATAGTTAAAACCTCTGATAATATTCATTTTAAACACAGATGCTAACAATTGGCACTTTATTTTTAATTTTACTGTCAAATACCCTATTGAGACTAACTAACTTAAAAAAAGAAAAACCTAACATAGAACAGAAATATAGTCCATACTTAAGCCTTAAGTATATATACCCTATAACTTTCCATAAATAATGTACTACATAAAAAATATCACAACAATTATGTTTGTGATGCATCATGGTTGTAATGTATATAATATAATAATCACAATGATCATATTTAAACTAAATAGAATTAAATCTAAAGAAAATATAACTAGAAAAAATTCCACGCGGATCAGGCAGCAGACGGGACTAGTTATATTTTCTTTAGATTTAAACATCAAGCAGTTACATGCTTTATAAAAAAATAAAAATTATAAATAGAATTACTTCATCTAAAAAACTAAAAACATGAAATAATTAATATTATACAGAAAAAATACAAGCGCTGAGACTATTGCATGTAATCAATACGCAGACAACATATCACACTGATCCCACATTATCACAAATCACATAATTTAATTGAACACATGATTAAATAAAACTAGTTTTAACAGGTGAATGCACGAACTTTATTTATTTATTGCAGGTTGTGAGGTCTGCAGTTTGCGGTCAGAATGTTTTTTTTTATTTATTGTAGTTTACGGTAGTTAGGGTCAAATAAATAAACTCAAATTTACAAAAAAGAATTTTAAATAAAGTACTTTATTAACTAAATTAACTAATAAATTCATACATACACAATAAAGTTCTAAAAAACTTCCAATGAAATATCCGAACGCTCAATAAAAATCTTTCGAAGGTAGCTCGACAAAGTAAATAAAAAAATATTATTCTGACGATGCAGATCTGAAAAGGCTGCGAAACGTCAATAAATAAATAAAGTTCGTGCATTAACCCGTTAAAACTAGTTTTATTTCATGAGTGATGTGCGTAAAAACCTTAGAAACAAATATGAACACATGATATTCCTAACCAATAAAAAATAACACAAAGCAAAAAGTAACCGAACATTTGAATCAAGTAACATCCCAATGGTCGTTTGAAAAACCACCTGCATCGACAGATGCAGATTCCTTCAAAACGCATGCTCTTTTTTTGAAATTTAAAATTGAGCAATAACAAAACGTCGGTGCCTATGTAGGATCAGTGTATTTAAACTTTAATAAATATTTGTAGCTATAATATACCAATAATAAGGAGCGAGTGTTGTTCCATAGATCTTGCAGCAATCAGTCGTCACTTATACGACGTTTCTTCTTATTATTACTCTTTTTCTTCTCCATCGCTTCCATTCTCATGTCTTCCAAATCTTCCATAATGCCTGAAAACAATATGGTTTCAATAAATAATCATTTTCACGTGTAAAGTTTCATCATCATCATCATCAGCCTATTAATGTCCCCACTGCTGGGGCACAGGCCTTCCCTATGGATGGAATAGGGAGATTGGGCCAAGATCTACCACGCGGGCCCAATACGGATTGGCGGGTGCTAACGACTGCAGATGCAGCCGGGACCAACGGCTTAACGTACCTTCCGAAGCAGGGAGGAGCTCGAGATAGAAGATTTTTGGTCACCCATCCAATGACCGACCACTGCGAAAGTTGCTTAACTTCAACGATCGCAGCCGGTAACGGTGGTAACGGTTGGTAAAATTCATGTTTGTTTTCATATAGTGTTTCATATACTAGTGAATCTCCACGAATTCACCTGCATACCTTCCTACTCAGCATTTCATAAAAGAGTGCTTTTTATAATAGCTAACATCTCAACTTTAGTTAAATATTATGCATCCGATTATCCGATCTATAGTGATAAGTTCAAAACCTATCTGCCTGCTTAATTGAGTAATGATTGATATAACCTGTAACACAGGTATTGCCACTACTGAAATAGGTATATTTCAGGCATCAGACTCTCACATCTTATGTAAGATTATTTCCACCTTATATAGCATCCCTTAAATGTACATAAGTTGTGAAGAGTAATAAACTTTATATTATTATTATTATAATCTTTAACAGTATAGTAATCTTTCTAATGGAGACATATTTTTATACACACTTTAAACTTATTAAAAGGTAAATATTCTTACCGAGTTTCTTGCTGATGTATTCTTCGCGTTGTTGTCTAGCGAAACTGGACTCCATAGTGGGATCGTCTTGATCATCCATGTCCCGGTATCTATAGTTGGAATAATAACCATGTCATGACTTATATCCATCATCTTTCCCTCTCATTAATGAACGAAGAATAAGCTAATATTAGTTACTCTATGTTTTGTCTCTGTTCATTGATTTACAAATGACACGAGTGATATGAGCAAAACACCGTTTTTACCCTTTGGGTAAAATTTACGATGTAGATAATGTCTTAAATTTGTTGCTTAAACAGTTGCATTAATTTATTAACATAGCTGCATAGTGAAGTGTTATAATTTGCAACGGCAGGTGTCATATCCCCCATACGACATTAACCCTTGTAAAGGATCTTTCTCTAACATTCATCTAAGAAAAGATATGACATAAAATTTATCAATTTCACTAATTTATCATACGTTAGACAAAGTACTACATAACTACTATAATGTAAAAGTCTTTTCATTTTTCGGGTTATTATTTATTGGTTCAGTTGATTGTTTGATTTCCCCTTACAACCTCAGCAACTTTACCTCTTTATAATGTAAGCATATATTAATTACACAAATTATAACCCACCTCAAAAATACAAAAAATCACTTTTACAGCAACATCTGTTTAAGATTCCCAAAATAAAGTCAAATGATGGGACATATGAACTAGATGCAGGAGAGTAACATTTGCAGGTAATACAATTATTTCTATTTACATCTTTTGAACCTCTGTTACTACACAAGGGAAATATGGCAACTATGAAAACATTATATTATGTTGACTTACTTTGATTTGTCATAACCAAATATTTCTTTTATGTGTCTTGAGTAGTCCAGATTTTCGTCTTCATCATCTATGAAGTCGTCCATTTCAGAGTCATACTCCGAATCTGAATCCAAACGGCCTGCAAATAGTAATATAAAAGCTAAATTAAACATATATAAAACATATTTTTTTAATGAATGTAGCATTGGTAAAATGTTTGCTTATAGTAAAAAAACTTTTAACCAACTACAGTTAATTTAAGTTATATAAACAGTTAAGCACAGGGTATTTGACAAATTTTAAAAACAATCTCACGTTATTTACTAATATTTCTGGAGTCCAAAAAGTAGATATTTTTAATTCTGTTGTGTAATTCAATGAAAAAACTAAATCAAACATTTATTTTTCTAGTTGCTGTGAAAATGTTGCTCTGGACATTATAGCGTCTCACCACCAGTATGTTACGTCACACTGTCATGATTTGACGTTTTATCAAACTGTACAAAGTAATGTGACTTTGGCAGGAAGTTTACTAGCGTGTGACATCATTTTAGTCTTAGCCAATCCCAGGCGTTTTCAGCAAAAAAAAAATTCTATAGATGATTTTATAAAAAAGTTATAAATTATTTGTTCTTTCAAAATAGTAAAATCGCTGTTAATATTCACATAAAATAAAAACAATTGGTACATTATTTCTCATACTGTCAAATAGTCTAACATAACATAATAGACTTCTTAAAAAAATACTCAAATAACACCTTTGCCTTACATGACTCCAGAGTGGATATATATATATTTTTATAATATAATGTTAATTATTAATAAGAGTGACTTACGTTTTGGTTTTCTCTTTGCATCATCTGGATTTGGCTTTCTTCGAAAATCACCCATTTTACGAGAGCCATCCTGCTTTGTATTTTTTCCAATTGCATTAATATGTTTGTCAAAATCAAAATCAGCACCTTTTGGTTTGCTGGAACCAGCTTGTGATTTCAATGACTTCTCATCCGGCCTTTTAGATAGTGACGGCTTACCAGTATCAATTGGCTTTTTACTGTCTATAGTTTTGAGAGTGCCATTCGAATGCATTGATTTTTGTTTGATCAACATTTCTCTATCCCTAACTCCATTCCTTTGTATTAACTGTTCCTTGCTAGTTTTTTGTGGTAATTTGCCATTGAGGTCACCATTGAGTTTACCATTTATACTTTTATTTGGTACAGATGCTTTTCTTTCAGTTGTATTTTTGTCTATCCTGTAAGTGTTCTGAGCTTTCAAATCAATATTCTTTTTCATACCTTGTTGTTCCCTGGATACAATTTTAGATTTGTCAACAGATTTATTAGATTTTTCAGTCTGAATGTTTGTTTCAAGCTTTGATTTGGTTTTTTCTAACTTTTCTCTATCTCTATTTAACCTGTCAATATCTCTGTCTATCCTTTCTCTTTCTGCTTTTAATTTATCTAATCTTTCTTTATCAAGTCTCTGTCTTTCCTTTTCTGCTCTTTCTTTTTCTAGTCTAGCTCTATCTTTTTCTTTTTGCAATCTGTCTCGATCACTGTTTAATTTATCCCGATCTCCACCATATCTGTCACTGATATTTTTTTCTCTGTCAGCTTTGCTTTTTTCACTAACATATCGTTCTCTTTCACTACCGGATCTATCACGATCAGATCCATGACGATCAGATAAATTAGGACTATCATTTTTAGAAGTTATTTGATTTTTGTCTCCAATTTTTGGGATGCGACCAAAACCAACTTGTTCCTGCTTCCTATCCTTTTCTGTAGATCTGTCCTCCTTTACAACTGAAAATTAAATATAATTATATTAGATATAATACAACTTATTTTACATACAATACAATAAACAATATTGTATTTGTCCTGCAAAGCAGGAATTATCTTTTTATTACCTTTCCTGCCATTTCCCTTTTCAGCTTCCAATCTTTCTTGACGTCTCTGTCGCCTAGCCATCTCCTCCTCATACTCTCGTTTTTGTTTTTTTGTCATAAGTCTTTCTGTTTCTTGTTCTGCAGCTGTTTTTTTAGCAAGCACATCCAATGGTTCACTTTTTTTTTGTTCAGCAAGCTTCAGTAACTGGTTGAAGTCCATAGGTGGCGGTGCTGCTTTGCGTATCTTAGGCTTATCATCTTTCTTTTTCTCTTTTTCCGGCTCATACTTAGTTGGAGGACTCTCATCCCTGTCTAATAGATAAAAATATATAAATGAAGATTAAGCTAATGAGGGAGCAAAATCTAAACCATAATTACACCAAATAGTGAAGTTAATTTACTTTAAGTTAATTTTTTTTGCATTGCCACTCAATAATTAAAAAAGAGCAAAAATCCATTCAAATGTATATTAGTAAATATCCTTTTTATATCCCCAGGACCCAGACTATCTTTATGCCAAATTTCAACTAAATCTGTTGAGGGGTTTATGTTGTGAAGGTTGTAATGTACCAGTTTTTAGTATGAAGAGGTAACAAGACACTTTTTAATTAACATATATATATTAGTATAAAACTAAGAATTATAAATATTTTATCTGAAAGTTTATTATATTTTTAGTATTTCGGCATTGTCAAACAAATATATGCTATGTGCATAAAATAAAACTTTAACATAGCAATTAATATGTGATATTATTCAGTCTAATGCAAATAGCATATTTTTAAAACCCAAAACTACCTCTGTTTATGTTTATAACCCTTAAGATTTGCATTGCAAACTTTGTATTTGAACATCTGTTAGTATACTTGAGTAAGCGCATTTAGCAACTATTGGTTTGACAATAACAATTTATGACAATGTTATTAAAAAACATACCATTGTTAGTTCCACCTTTACGCCTTCTTTTGTGTGGCACTGGGTCATCTTCATGTTGTAGAGCATGTTTTACTCTCTCGACAGTACCTTTTAAATCCTTTTTAACAACACTCTCTAAAACAAATAAGAGTAATTAGTAAATAAATTTCTATGAATATAATAAAAAAAAATTAAATATAAATAATAAAACAAATCTCATAATGCTAATGATGTCATTAAGTAATTAGGCTTATGTACTTTCTTTGTTTTAATGTAAAAAAATATGAGTATGCATATCATTATCAGTCTAATTTATAGTGAAAAATAGCAAATCCACTTCATTATTACTATATTGATAATAAATTAACCTGACAAATACAATATAACAACTTACTTGATGTTGGAAATTTTGGTTCATCTGGTATTTTACTGTACTGCTGCATCATTTTTTCATAAATAGCTGCGGCTGCTTGGGACTCATACCCATAATCATCTTGATCTGGTTGATCTGGTCCTTCCCTAGTGACTGCAGTATTGTCTCTGTCCACTGCATCTGCTATTACAGACTTATTAGCAGATTTAATAACTTTTAGAGTTTTCTGAATTTTCCTTAATGCCTTGGGATCACGCATAGCAAGCAGCTCTTCACGTTTTCTCTGAGCCTCTAGTTTCTTCTGCCTTTCCTCTTCATCTTTCTTAGCCAAAAACTTTTGAATATTAGCCGATAATCTATCTTTTTGCTTTTGTTCTTTCTTGGGAGGGTCAAACTTTGCCTTGTAATAGTAATTACTCTGTAAAGTAACACATTTTAAATTAATTTAACCAAATATTTTAAATACCACGAAACGATACCAACAAAATAAACAAGACATTTGTTTAGTTCTACTATTCGGCGCTGTATTGCGAAATTTTAAATTGTCTTATTGAAGTAGCAAGTAACTTACAGATGATTGTTGTTGTTGATTTCGTTGAGCAGCTAACAAGGTTTCCCGAAACTCCATTGTCACAAATAAATTGCAGCTTTTGATCTACTGTGACTCTTATTTTGAGGGCATATTAAAACTTTCACAAACTATTTACGAAAATATAAAATACGTGTCATAAATATAACTTCGACACTCAATCCGATCATTTTCTGGAAACGTACTAAATAGAGTCCATGGTTTACGTCACCTATGTTTAGGAATGTCCAACAATTGAATATGTCAATTGAAAGATTTAAAATCGATTGTCGAAATTAAATAAAAAGGAGATATTTTTAACATTCGTTAAAATATATTGTATACAATATAATTCGTTTTGAATAAAGAGAAATTTATTAAAAGCCTGCCTATGAAAAACTATGCTCTACTATCACTATCACAATCAAATCACCAAATACTGATCCGTACATATTCACGTCACAACACCGACTAATAATTAGTGTTCCATATCTGTAGGCCGAGTTCCGTTATTGCCGGGAGGGGGAGACAGTGAGCTCTAATGAGCCTTATCAGCCATAACTAAGAATGCATGTTTCAATCAGAATGAATCATTTTATGTATTAATGAAAGAAAAAGCAATGTAATTCAAATAGCATAAAAGTTACTATTATTCTCAATCACAGCTATTCATTTTTCAGAGTGTAGTATCGATTGTACACCACAGATACAGATATAATATAGTAGGTGATTACTAAGAAAACCTGTATAATTTAATCAAAATTACGTAACAAAACAAACTTTCCAAATTCAATCCTATCCTAAGGGCTAGCTAAGGATAAAGTGATTTTTCCTTTACGTGGTATTTTTTATTTTACCGATGAGGTACGTTATACACACATTAAAAAAACCTATTTTCAAAATTGCTGTGCTTTAATGAAACAACGATAGAAATGAAAATAATACTTTAATTAAATTAAAATCATTAATAAAAAACAATATTTACTCGGCTGAGTTTCTAGCCTCGCCCGCATGGGATGAGCTTTCTACTACTGAACCACCACGATGCTTGTTGATAAAGTTAATATTTTAAATGTAATGCAATAAGGTAAGAACGAAAAAAAATGTAGCGATGTAAGTAATAAAAGTTCCACTTTGAAAATTGTACGTAGGGTGACTGTACTAACTTTGCTCCGTTTGTCAACCCTTTTTGTCCTCCGCGGACATAAGTCCATCGTGTGCGCAAGCTACTGTACATACCTAAGTTTTATTTAATTAGGTAAATTTAATGGAATTAAAAAAGATCCAGTCTGGATCTTTTTTAATTCCACTGATATACGTGGGTGCCAATCACTGTACCTCGAGGGCCAATGATTATTTGGAACTTTTTTTTGGTGCTTTTTGAAATATATTAATACGTAATAATATTGAGCTTGAGTGTTCTTATTTTGACACTCAAACCCTATTTAACAGCATTGTGTAACTACATTCAATCGAAAACTTATAGTGAATGTACTAGACAAACAAATGAAGAATTCCGCTTAAGGGGCCAATCTTTATATAGGTAGTAATTATAGGTAATAATTCTATTCTTCTTCTTTTTCTTTTTTGTGGCAAGCACGGTTTGTGAATAATTCTATTACACTAAAGGTAAACCGTGGTATTTTTTTTTCTTAAATACAGTACCTAAATACAAAGAATAAATGATCCTTGTCGTAAGAATAAGCAAAGCCTGATAAATACCTGTAATGACAGACATAAGTATTTGATATAAATAAATAAATAAATGTCAAGCTTTTTGGAACGAAGTTCCTTACGGCAGGCTTGGAGGGGGGGGATAGGGATTTTGCTGCGCGACCGAACTGAAAATAATGTGATAGTAAAACCGTAAGAAAAAATCCGTGGAAAAAGTACGTGGAATAAAACCGTTAAATGAGACGTGCGCAGGTGCGACAGTGTTTGGAACGAAGTTCCTTAGGGCAGGCTTGGAGGGGATAGGGATTTTGCTGTGCGACCGTACTGAAAAAAATGTGATAGTAAAACCGTAAGAAAAAATCCGTGGAAAAAAGTGCGTGGAATAAAACCGTTAAATGAGACGTGCGCAGGCGCGACAGTCGCATACACAAGCGAGTTTGCAATTTGTGTCGACTTTAATCGAAGGAACTTCGTTCCTCTCTGGTGTCCCACGACACCACATAATTTTTTTTAAAGTCCATGACGAAATATCGCAATTTTAGACAATCGTAGTAATCTGTGATTGCATTCGATATTTTCGACCGCTACTGGTGTCGATTCTGACAGGATTCTCTGAACCTAAACTTAAATTTGATAACAGTGTATCCTTGTCATTCTGTATACAGAATAAAAAGGATAGATTGATGTTAAATAGGTTTAAGTATAGAGAATCATACCAGAATCAAATGTATCCTCGAATGCACCCTTGTCATTCTCTATAAAAAAAGGAGGGACTGATGTACAAGGAGACGGTTCTTTAGTTTTGAGTTTAGATAAACATGCCAGACCAAGCACTATGTGCGGATGAGGCTTTTTAATAGTTTCAATGATACTGAAAAGTTGTACATACTTAAGGTTGCACTGGTGTAGGTACGGAACGTAGGCTAGATTTGTGTGTTTGTGATTGTATAGGTATGGTACCCTTTGCCTTCCCAGAATGGGTAAAGAAATTAAAAGAATGTTTGTACGTGTCTATCTCTTTCTCTCTGATTCTGTCATTTTCCTTTGAAAAGTTTGACGGAAACGCAAAGTATGGTTGGTAAATTTATTTTTAAATTATCTTAATTTTTCTTGATAATCTCAGGGTTATTAAAATGAATCAGTTGTGTTTCTCTCTAAATGAGTGGATATTTTGTTACCTATTACACTATTTTTGTGTTTCTTGTGGAATTCGTAGTATTAAGAAGTGGTTGTTGTTTTTCTGCAGGCCACTTCTAAGAAGAAGACTAGGAAGCTTCGTGGTCACGTAAGCCATGGCCATGGTCGTATTGGTAAGTTCAAAGATCCTATTCTTGCTCCTTTTTTTGTACCTCGTTTGTTTTCTGTTTATAAAGTATAGGTTATGTCAAGAGTCTAGGCATAAAACAACAACTTGTTCCTATCTATTCTACCTGCCAATCAAAGTCAATTTGGTCCTAAAGAGCTGGACAACCTTTATACATAATTCTTGTTTTGATAGGTAAACACCGCAAACATCCCGGTGGTCGCGGTAATGCTGGTGGAGAACACCATCACAGGATTAATATGGACAAGTACCATCCAGGATACTTCGGTAAAGTGAGTACAGTGCTCTACACAATGATCATAAACGACATGCCTAAGACCAGGCACTTGGTTTTTTATTTCAATTATTAGAGGTTTTAAAAATAATATTCCGTAGCACACAGTCTTTACTTTGATTAAATTGATAAATTATTGCTGGTGAAGCAGTTCATAATGAGAAATATCTTTATTTCCTAAATCTAAGTTGATTCTAATAAATAATTGTTTTCAGCTTGGTATGAGGAATTATCACATGAGGAAAAACAAGGACTTCTGCCCAGTTCTTAACTTGGATAAGCTGTGGACATTAGTGTCTGAACAGTCCAGGCTTAAGTATGCTAATGCCACTGATGGAAAAGTCCCTGTAATCAATATTGTGAAGGCTGTGAGTATATTTCTTTCATTTCAAAGTGTTTATAGGCATGTCTTATCTAATGCCACTTACATTTATACAAAAATATCTTTATTCACACTAACATAGACACATACCAAAACAGGTGGCTGATCGCAATAAATGTCAGATAACTGAAACGCATTGAACCGTAAATGAATCGCAACTTTTTATGATATTCATATCGTGCTAAAGTTTTGACAGTTAGTTGATATGTAAATGTACCATGGTTGGACCATACTCCAGTGAACTTCAGTCAAAAACAAAGATTTCAGTTGATAGATGAAAATTAGCGCAATATCGGTTTCATATAAAGTTGTGTTGCAATTAGATTTAGGCTAAGATTAATTGAAATTTGTTGGATCATTCAAAATAATAATGTGTGTTTGGCCTGCTGGTCAACAGCAGACATGTAAGATGTATAATTTGTAATTCCTGTAAAAATTGTGTGATTTTTAATTCAGCTATGTTGTATGTGTAGTATACACATAAACATGCTCTAATCTAACCTACATCTTTCCTATTTGTAGTTGTTAGTTATTACATTAAAATTTTATTAGTGATTAGAAATCAGGCAGATTGCCATGGGTGAAATTTATATCAATGTGAGGAAATGTAACCTGTGACTCAGGAATAGGCTTGCTTCATAATAGTGAAAGAAATTTTGAAATTGATCCAGTAGTTTTGAGTTTATTCATTACAGACAAAAAAAACCCCAATCCTCAGATGTTTGAATGGGAATGATTTTAGCTTAAATTATTTTATGTACCTTCATAAACATAAAACTAATTTGCCATATCAACTTTCATCCTTTATTCCAAAATTTATTTATTGCAAAAGGTTGCTGTCTGAAAAGAAACATTCCAAAAACTCATAAGACCTCATCCTGACAATAGAGAATACAAAAAAAAACAATTTACCTATATGGTTCAATGTTTCCAAAGTTATGTTATATTTCCAAAAGATAATTTTTATTTAAATAAATTTGACCTGAAAATTGCCAAGCAGGGGGGGCACCATGATTTGAAAGGACATGCCCAATACTACTCGCGTGGTACTTTCTCCTGTAGCATGGAGGCTACTTTCCTAGAAGGATGCGTCAATTTGAACAAAAAATCTGCTATTATTGGCCCCTTACTTCAAATTTACCATTCTAGCTAATTTTTATATCTAAATTTTTTTATTCCTTTTCAGGGTTATTACAAGCTACTAGGGAAAGGAAATCTCCCTAAGCAACCAGTTATTGTTAAAGCAAAGTTCTTCTCCAAATGTGCCGAGAGGAAAATTAAATCTGTGGGCGGTGTATGTGTTCTGTCTGCGTAAATTTAAGCTAAATATATAAAACAAAAACAATGTATCTTTTATTTTAGCATACAAAATTGGCAATAGTATCTTAGTGCCATTATAATAAAGCAGTAGTGTATCACAAAATGGCTTGGTGATTATCACTTCCATCTGTCAAAAGCAGTTGCCTATTGATCGTATTTATACACATACGATTTTTGTGCCTCTTGCTAAACTCAGTCGTTCTCCAGCAGGAGTGCTTACTTGCTTACGGAGTACAAATAAAATACGGACGACGAATTGCTTCTAAGTAATAATTGGAGATTTTCTCTTGTTAGGCTTAGATTAAAACAAAAAGGGAAGATAAGGCATTCGAGGCGGCGGATTCTAGTATGAGCGTACCGTATCTTCCCTTTTTGTTTATATCTAAGTTGTTAGGTAGCTATTTACTCGATCAATCTCATTAGACTTACTTAAACATTCAAAACCCCGAAAATATTATCGTGTACTCCCCATCGCCCTCGCGGCGATTGCCGCCGGAGGCAATAAATAAAACAAGTAGGGACAATGATTTTATTCCCATTTGCCTCTGGTGGCCGTCCCCGTGAGGGCGACTGCGATGGAATAAACGAAATTTTAATGAGTAGGTATACGCTCAATCCAACTTCCTTTAAATATGTATTATAAACTAAGCGAGCTACTGACATTCCTGCCGCACGGCTGATGTAGGGCGCACGGCGCACAGTGGGTGAAAAAAAGAGGTCCCCTTTCATAGGATTTTTGAAAAAATAAAAATATTTATTATCCATTTAAGGTGTGCGGTTTCATTGGACATATCAGTATATTGAATAATAAAATAGTTTGGGGATTTTCCTTTTAATCTTACACCATAAAGCACGGGCTTTAGAGTTTCAAATGTATGAAAACAGAATTTGTTTTGCTCATAACTTGTTCGGTCTTCTACGGTCAAGCTGAAACTTATAGGGATTATTACCGGGTCTGTTACAAAGCCATGTGACCTTTGTCCTTCACCCCGGACGGCCCCGTTCAAAAGATATGAATTTTTCAAAATGCTCGTTAGGGTAATATTGCTTTACGGGCTTATGTGTCTCAATAAATAGTTTGGTAAAACTGTACTTCCAGGGCCCAAAAGGTGATACTTGTTTTTTTTTTGTAGAAAAGGTCTTTTTAACAGTTTTTTTTTCTGGCGCTTCGCCGGCCGCTGCCGCGGCACGCTCGCTTTGCTCGCTCGGCTCGCGCGTTATGGTCACAACACTAACCTAACCTAACCTAGTGTGAAGTATCACCACTTGATAAGAAAAGTAAAAATTTTCAATATTTTTTTCCAAAAAACTACCAGTGCATAAGTGTGACATTTTTTTTAATAATGTGGTTAACAGAAACCTTTTTAACAACAAAATGCGAAATTACAACCAACAAAACTGTGAAGTTTTTACTTTTGGGCCCTGGAAGTACAGTATATCCAATAGTTTGTTTATGTTTCTTGCCCAGCAATTAGTTATTAATACAGCGCAGATAATTAAAACTATACAGTAGATAACGACACCATACAACTTAACTTTAAATAAAAGCGTCCTTATTCAAAAGATATGGAATTAATATAAATAGATAAAAGAAAAGTTTTAAGAAAAAGAAAACAAGAATACAATATTGTAAAGAATTATAATGAAGTCGTTTACAGCCTACAATTTAATCTTTTGTTTGACAATCGCTTAAAAGCCGCGCGCCATTAACGAGAGCATCATTACATATAAACAATACAAACTCTATTGTGGCAGGTTTTGAGGAATTCAAAGGGTTACCCACAGTCATTACCTGCCATTGTTTGCCTATAATAATTAATTTTGTCAAACAAACATACTTACACTTACAATGTCTATCTAAGAAAGGGTTTGATCAAATATGTTTATTGAAGTTATACTTCTTTACGCGCGTTATGAAAAAATGATGAGAGTGAAATTTTAAGATGCGCGCGCATCACTGTAACACAAAATTTTAAGGCTAAAGCGACCAACTTCATGCTGTTACTTTTGTGTTTACCGCACTTAAGAAAATCTACCAACAAAATAGAAATAGAATCTCTATTTAGCGGATGCTAACGACTGCATTGTGAAGGCCTATCAAAAGTATTAATCTGGAACAACGGAACCAAAGCGCGATTCAGGAGGCTACAGCGCCATCTCGTGACCATTGGTGTAGTAGAACCAAAAACCACATCTTTATTTTTTGTAATAAAGTAACAGTTATAGGTATTCATATTTATAATATTTATCCACATGTTTCTAGTTTGTATATTCGGAATACGTGTTTGAGTTTCATACAAGTGCAAATCACGTATGTTCTAATAAATTATATTCAGTAGCGATTTTAATTGAATATTTTGATTATTTATTTATTTTTTCAAATTAAAACTGAACTTTATTGACTGTGTCCTTTTCCAGACTTTTTATTAATTTATTGTAATTAATTATTTGCATGCAATTAAAAACTAATTTTAAACGATGCGAAAGAAGGATAACTTCTCACGCGCCTACATAAGTACACGCACCCATTTTTTTTTGGGATACCTAGATCTTCAACTGACTAAAGTCCTCTGCGCACTATCCATCTTGCTGGATCCAGCATGCGGGATAGCGCTATACGCGTAAAAGAGATCCTGTATCTCCATCTCTTTTACGTGTATAGCGCTGTCCCGCATGCTGGATCCAGCAGGATGGATAGTGCGTAGAGGACTTAAGCGTAAAATGAACAAAGTGTTTTTCCAGATAAACTAGCTGGTTATTAATATTAGTAAATGTAGTAAGGGAGATTCTGATATGTTACTGCCAAACGAGAAAATAAATTACATTTACATTATGAATAAAACAAATTTATTAACATCAATATTTTTATTTACAAAACCTATACTACCTAAAGGTTGCTTTTCAATTACAGCATTATGCGGCATAATGCTTAACGTTCAGTGTTCCAACTACAGCAACGCTTCGCACAATTGAGCACTCTCAAAAGTGATGCTTTCGTGTGATGCGTGCAATTGTATCAACTTAGAGACAGAAAATTAACAAGTGTTTTTTCTTTAAGTTGGCATTGATCGAAATGTTTTATTTATATGTTATCGTTAGTAATATTATTTATTGTTGAAAAATTATTAAAGCTTTCGTTTCATTAAATAGTTTTTTTTTTAAATAATCAAAGTTCATTCAAACTGTTAAAAAATAAATATAAGTATGGATGAAGGTACAAACATTGACTTTTTTTTTCAACACTGAACTTAGCGCAGTCTGCTAGTGCTTTTGAAAACTAATTCACGTTCCAATTAAGCATCAGCATAATTAGGCATTGTGCGGCACTGAGTCGCATTATGCTCTGTAGTTGGAAAGCATACTAAGCTTGATATCATAAATTAAATAATGCATAATAAGGAAGCCACAACTGTATAAATTACTACACACATACAAGCTAAAGTATAAAAGATTATTAGAACTCAAATTGGCTACAACAGTTCTTAAATACGTAAACTGTTTATATTAATATGATACAAAGATACAAAAAAATAAAGATACAAAGTTTGATATAATTTGATTTGAGGGAAAGAACACATACTAATCAGTCATAATCACGTACATTACCTACATCTACAAACTCTATATTTTCCTTATCTTCACTAGAAGTTAATAATAATGATTTAGCTTCATTAGTGAGAGGTTTATTTCGTTGACATATTTTAGGCCTGAAACTTGATAGGTATGGGTCAGACGATATTAACAAATTATTGATAATATCTTCATTTGTTGCAATCCTGCTAGATTTACGCGAGTGGAAGGTTCTGATTTTTTAAAAATCTTTGTTACGAGCTTCAGAGGCCTCTTCAGAGAGCTTGCCGATTGGTATAAAGTTATTGTGCTCTATTATATCGGCACCATGAATGAGTAATTTATGCACGCTTGAGGGCATATAATACCATTCATAGAGCTCGACATATTTGCGTGCTGTAGCAGCACAATATTGGCGGAATTTTTCCACGTCCACAAACTCTCCACATGAGATAGCCTGAAGCACCACTCCAAATCTTCTAACGAGTTCTTCATCAACACCCGTTATTTGCGCAGTAATTTGAGGATTAGCAAAAACTCTTCTTGCTGTGTTTCCATCGTTGCTTGTACCAGCCCCTTGTTTAACTACGTCCACAAGTAGCCCCGTTTCAGTCCGGAATTGTTCTTGAATAGCCTTTTTTCTTTGGCTTAACTGTTGCTTCAAATCTTCGCCCTTAGCTTGCCATTTCTTGAAGTCGAGACGGTAAGCAATATGTAAGATGCATTCCATGCATCTAATTCGTGCATGGAGGGAAGACAGACCGAACTTAAACATCTCTACAGACTGGGTTCTCTGAGTAACCTTGTCGATATCATTCATTTCTTTTGGTTTTGCTTTGCATATATCGCATGTAGCTGTGGATGTGTATCTGATAAATGTGAAGTTATTTTACCATCAATCATCGTCATATGCAGAACGTGTTTTACATTTGCACCATCGATAACAGTTGGATGTAGAGCAGCAATTTCCGTATCAATTGAAGTCATTTCTTCTTTAACATTCAAATCGTTCTCTTTAGCAAACTTAAAGTAAATGGGTCGACAGTAAAACGTTGAAGACGCTTTGGGGTTTTCCCATATTATTTCATCAGTACCATCTCTCAGCAGTTTTGACGGCACAAATGAACACATGAAGATGCTTGAATCATCGCCGTCAATTTTTTGTTGGTAGTTGCTGTGCCCAGATGCACCGTCAAACCACCATTTACTGATAAGAGTCGAATTAGCCAGTTAAATCATTTTCCAGAGTTTTTAATAGTCTCTTGACCGTAATATCTAAAATAGACTGAAGCTTAAATTTAACTTCAGTCTCAGTTATTACCATGTCTTCTTTTTCAACGTAGCATTCCTTCTTCTCTTGCTTCAAAGCATCATACGATGGAAGTATATCACACCCCATGACTTTCATTGTCTGCCTCAGTGTAATATACTGTCGTTTTGATAAAATCCAGTGATGTTGAAATACCGAGTGCCTTATCGTATGACAAGTTCGTTTCGTCGATTTCAGGCAGGCTCGCAGCATTGGCGCATCTTCAGGCTTTTTAATCAAATGCTTCACTAATTCTACAAAGTCCGTTTGGT